CCTCCTAATTTCAGGCTAATGATGCTATCAGGCTAATTTGTGTAAAATACAGAATAAACAGAATCATCCCTAGCTGCCAGTACCCCCTGTTTCTCATTCCTGTGGTCACGGTTCCCCATCAGCTACTGAAAAGCAGAAACCAAACCTCTAGCTCCACGGTATCACTTAAGCCCCAGAGCCGTGGTCATTTAAACTCATGTGGGTAAAAGCTGCTGGGTGAGCATTCTTAGAATCCACAGGGCTATGACAGGTGTGCGTCAGTGCTGGGTCCCAGCCTCCCTTTACTTAAGTGGGGCAGGGCGGGGTAGGGTGGGGGCCACCAGCTGCGGGTGGCCTGGGTGGGGGACTCACCCACGACATGCCTCTGTCACCACAGGAGCAGGATGATGTGAGGCTGACCGCCATCCTCTTATTTGAGAATCTGGCATGCCTAACAGGAAGAAAGTGGAAGATTTTCTTTGCTGAAGAAATAAAAAAGAGCATGATTTCATTCCTTCTCCACCTCTGGGATCCCAATCCCAAGATCGGGACTGTAAGTGGCCCTTGCACAGAAGCCCGTACCTCCCCACAAACCCATGGCCAAGAGGTGCTGGGAAGCCTGGTCTTCCTGGACCAGAAGCCAGATTTGAAGGCACCTCTCTCAAATGAACCTGAAACCACTTCACCAGTCCTGGGTGCTTTTTTGCCATCCCCTCTGGAGTTTGCGTTTCCATCCTTGAGACTGGGAAGGTGGCAGCACTGAGTGTGAAGCCCTTCATGTCACTGACTTTTACTGCTCCTTTCCCAACACACCAGTCAGTATTTCTTCCCTTCTGGAAGGGGATCCGGCATTATGGACCATGATGCAGAAAACTGTTTTCCAGGCGTGCCGAGACGTCCTGATCATCTGCATTCCATTTCTGGGTCTCCAGGAACTCTATGGGGTATTAGATCATCTCCTTGACGGTCAAGATCTACCAAGGGCCAGGGATTTCTATAGGCAATTCTGTGTGAAACTGGTGAGTGTGCATTAGAAGCTGCTTCCAAAAATGCCAGACAAGAGTCCAGACAAATCCCAGAAGGCAAACAGCATAGCGAGGAATCCTGGCCAGAGCCAGAACTGTCCTGGAAGGATTCTCGGTGGCCTGCCACATCACCTTCTGCTCTTTACCCAAGTCCCAACTGGGATCCGTTCTCATTTCCTGAAACACATCTGTTGATTTGTCCCAAAGCCCCAGTGCCATGCTGATTAAATTGAGAATGAAACAGCCGTAAGACATCTTCGAACAGAGTAATTAATGGCTGTATGGGTGCTTGCTGGCCTTTAGAAGTCCCTCCTTAGGACCTGTGGGATGCTGAATTTCACAACAGGTCACTTTCCAGTTGCCCTCTTTGTAATATACATCTCTCTTCTAGGCAAAGAAAAACCAAGAAATCCTGTGGATCCTCCACACACACTCATTCACCTTCTTCAGCAGCAGCTGGGAGATGATCAGGAGCGCGGCCGTCAAACTCACAGGTGAGGGCATGTCTGCCTTCCACACTCCTAGGTCTGCACCTTGTGCTTTGACTGGAAGCGTGAATGCTGGCATGATTGGCATGACCCAAAAGACACCAAAAAAACAAAACAAAAAAAGCCAGAAAGGAATCCATTTCATGTCTTGCAACATTTTGCCTCCAAAGAACCTGTTCTCTTTTGCAGATGAAAACATAGCCTGCTGTGTTTCTCCTGGTTCCAAGTCACTGCTCTTTCTTTTCCCCAAGTCTTTGCTCCAAGCCTGCTGCTCCTGCCTCAATGAATTCGTTTGCATTATCCCTTAATATTAAACTGGAGTCAACCTTTAAGCTCAGTTCAAGCTGAGAGCTTTAGTAGTAACGTGATCCTAGTAGAAAGTGTGTGGGTGCAGGAGCCAGCAGACCTTGGCTCCGCTGTGTGATTCTGGACAATTCATATCTCTGTGATGCCTCTTGGTCTGATCTGTAAAATAAAAGAGGAAAGTCAGTGAATCTCAGAGGATGCCTCTATTAGGAAATTCTAAGTCTGTTTCAACTAATCCAGCGCACTGTGAACAGGCCCACTCGGTTGGCCACCTTTAAGATTGGGTTAAAGTCTGAGATTCCTTATGGATCGTGTATGTGACCCTCCCTAACTGCACTGTAGACTTTTTGAAGACAGGGCCCATAGCTTACATACGTTTGAAACCCTGACAACTGGTGCCCCCTAGAGGACATAGTGTGAGTTTTCCCAAATCCATGGTGAGTGGCTGACAGCTTCCAGCCATGGCACTGAAGACCCAGCAGACGTCACCCTCACATCCTCCTGGGGAAGCAGAGGGAGTCTGTAGTTTGTTCAGTCACCAGCCAGAACATTAACTTACAACTAAGTGCAGAGTCTGACCTGATCTGCTTTTCATGGCCTGTTCCTCTATAATGAAACCAGTAACTTCCTCCTGCTGCTTTTAGATGCTATTGTTCTTAATTTGACCAACCAATATGTGGAGTTATTGGACAGAGAACAGCTGACCACGCGTGAGTACCAACCCTGGCTTCTGCCCAGAGCACTGTCAAGTTCTTAGAGAAAGAGAAATCAATGACGATCCAAGTTCCATGTCAGCCCAGAAGTTAAAAATCATAGTGTCCCCATTAGCAATCATCTCTGATGCCCCTAGATACTAGAATTTCTCCAGAGTGTTATGCAACCCGGCTCCACTTCGCTGTGGGTGTCTTTCCCACCAGCCCTTGATTTTCCAATTGTCTGTAAGCCTAGTGACCACAGGGTCAGGATCTTCTCTTCCCTTATTTTAATGTTAAAATAGATTCTCAACTTGTGGCTTTAGACCCTACATGTTAGGGTAAAACGTGAGCCCGAGGGCCTGAGCCCCACACAGCACAGGCCCTCAGTGGGGGCCTCACTGTGCTACAGAACTTGGGCCTTGGCTTCCTCATTCACCGGCTGTTTCTATTCTTTCCATTTCAGGGCTCCAGGCACTTCGGCAAGACCCCTGTATCAGTGTCCAGAGGGCAGCGGAAGCTGCCTTGCAGACCCTCTTGAGAAGGTGTAAAGAGACAAGCATCCGTCCGTAAACCATCAGGAAATAAACTGCTAGGCTTTTTCTGTAACTGACTCCTGTCTCCATCCTCATAACTGACGAACCTGCGGCATCTCTAGGAAAGAGATGGCACCTGGGGTGGAGATGTTGAGGGGGTAGTGCATTCCTTACCCTCCAGGGGCTCCCATTAGTAAAACCCGATCGCACCAACGCACCTGAGGGGAAACCTGTGATCTGAGTGTGGACAGCCTCGGCTTTGCATAGGCTAGCCTCCGGGCGTGGGAAGCTTGCATCCCAGTGGCTATCAAAACAGGACAGAACGTGAAACAGTTCTGCTGCCATTAAGAAAAGGACCACTGCTTGTTTCCACACATAGCCTTTTCGTTTCACATCTTTGCCAGCTTTGAATTACGACCTTCACTCTTCCCTTTCTAAAAACATAGTCTTAGAACAAACTTTAACCTGTCTGTTCTTTCTCAAGTTGTAATTTATGTTTCGAGACCACGCGGGGTATTTTTCTACAAAAAAACCCTTTCTGACATTCTACTAAATCTCATAGTTTCCTTTCCATTTTTGTCCTAAAGCATTCCTCCTTTTGAATTGTGTGTGCAGGTGTGCATGTGTTAACCTTCTCCCCAGCATCTGAATCATAATTCTTTACTCTTTTCCGCAATGAACACCTGAAAGGTCACCTACAGGAAATTATGTACATAAAAAGAAGTTTCTAATGCAGAACCTGGCACTCATTTACAACATTATTAAATTGATGTATCTCTTTACAAATTCCTTTTACCTATGTCCTAATCCCTTCATCCTCAAGCTCTTTGGGAAAGCATCTTTTGTTTCTACAAAACCTTTTAGGAACCAAAGGAATCTTTTTGTTCAGAGATTTTAGGCCAGAGTCCATTTATTCATTCATGTAACAAATACTCTTTGAGTGCCATCAGTTTATAAGGCACTGTTATAGCCACTCGGCTACAAGTATGAGAAACAAAATAGAAAAATTCTACACTTATGGAGCTTATATTCTATGACATCTGCGTACAAATTCCAGAGGATGGAGCCAGCCTCCAAGACGGCTCCCAGTGATTCTCGCCTCCTGGTGCTGTACTCTCCTTCCATGCTCCATAGAAATGACCTGTGCAATCAACAAAATGGCTCAAGGGGCAGGGTGTAGCTCAGTGGTAGAGCGCGTGCTTAGCATGCATGAGGTCCTGGATTCAGTCCCCAGTAACCCTGTTAAAATTAATAAATAAATCTAATTACCTCCCCCTCCAAAACAAAACCAAATACAATAGTTCAGAGATGAGAGAGTGTGATTTCCAAGGCAAGGTCATAAATGGTATCGCACTCTCTTGAATCACCCACTCTGGAGGAAGCCAGCTGCTAATATAAGGAAACTCAAGCAGCCCAAATAGAGGTTTGTGTAGCCAAGAACTGATGCCTCCGGCAAACAACCGAAGCTAACTTGCTAGGCTCGTTTCGTTAATGAGCCACCTCAAAATGAATCCATGAGCCCCAGTTAACACACTGACTGAATTAGGAGATAAAATACTGAATGCCCAGTTGAATTTGAATTTCAGGTAAACAATGAATATTTCTTTAGTAAAAATATGTCTTGATTATTGCATGGGACACATTTATACTAAATTATTATTTGTTGTTTTTCTAAAATTGAAATTTAACTCAGCATCTGGCATTTTTGTTTGCTAAATCTGGCAACTCTAGTGCAATCTAATGAGAGTCCTGAGCCAGAATCACTAATCTAAACCACTCCTGAATTCCTGAGCCACCAAACTGTATGAGATAATAAATCCATGTTGTTTTAAGCCACTAAGTCCTAAGGCAATTTGCTATGCCCCGGTGGGTAACTATTACATACAGAGTCCATGATCCCACTGAAGTCAAATGCAAATTTCTGTGTATAATTGCATAGGTACATTTTCTGGGTAATGGCTTTCATTAAATTCTTAATGGAGCAGAAGCTGTTCTTAAGCATAACACTCATGAAACAGAGCAAGAAAAGGAAGGCAAGAGAAAAGGGTTTAGTTGACTTCTTGGAAGGTTATTTTAAGTCAAATGACATTTCCAATAGAACTTAGCAATGGTGGAAATATTTTATATCTGCACTGACCAATATGGTATTAAAAACTTAATACCTCATATTAGACCAGCCACATGTGGCAACTGAGCACTTGAAATGTGGCTGGTCCATCTGAGGAATTAAGTTTTTTATTTTAAGTTTTATTAAATTTAAGTAGACATGTGTAGCTAGTAGCTTCAGTATCGCACAAGATGATTTCAGAACATGGGGCAAAGAGTCATCACAGAATTTGGGCTGAGCCACCCAGAACAACAGGACATTCTCACCAAGAGTCTAAGTTCACTGACACAAGACTTTCTGCGTATGTCCATCCCCACCATCACTTTCCACCCATCTCGGCAACGAGAAAAGAGCCTTCCTTACTACTGATTGGTGGAAATTAGGTAGAATGGTCACATGAAACACAGATCACAACTGAACCTTTATCTAAGCCCTAATCTTAGAAGGATTCACCGCAACAAGAATATCCAAGACTCATGTTATCACATTCCAGCTTCACCCATTTCCAGCCATGTGACTTGGGGAAAACATTTAACCTCTCTGTGCTTCAATTTCCACACCTGCAAATTGAGCTACTAATTCTCTACCTCAAGGTGCTACTGTGAGGATTAAATGGATTAAAACATACAGGCAAAGCACTTAGAAACTTCACACAGAACCATTATTGAGTAAATGTTAACTATATAACATAAATGTGAATAATATTAACAAATTTATTATAAGAATTGCACAGTTTAACATAAACTCAGTGA